TTATATATGAACACAATGTCTTTATTTTACTATATGTGGTGCTGAGGATCCAACCTAGTACCTCACGCATGCTAGGCGAGCACTTTACCTCTGAGCTACAACCCCAGCCTGAGAAAAATTATTGTCATTAAACAGTAATCATTTTTATTGAGTGCTTGCATTAAGTACTATACTACCCTAAAGTCAAAGTGCCTGGGTTCATTCTGGCACTGCCAGTTATCACCTATGTGACCATGGGAAAGATACTTAGGCTTTTCTATGCCTCCGTTTCTTCCCCTGTAAAATGGAGATAAGAATAGCTCCCCACTGTAGGGTTGTTTCAGGGACCATTTTTGACGAATCTTTTAAAATCGCAGATATTAACCAACTTTAAAAATTTGTTTAAAACTGGGCCTGATCTACTATATTAGACTTTATTGTTTGACTATTTGTCAACAACCCCAAATTTCAATAATATGTAATCATTGGTAATTTGCTGAGGATAAACAGAGGAGAAAGTTTTGATAGCTGTCTGAAACTTAAGCCTCTAGGGATGGACTCCAAAATGGAACAGTTCCCTAACAGAACCATCACACACCCAGGGCAACCTTAGGGACTGTAGTAAGTGGAGAGCAGGGGTGGGCAGGCAAGTCTAGACACAGTGCTGAAGCAGCAGGACTGAGGGCCAGAAACAGGTCAGTCTGGATAGTAAATGAAAGGGTCTGAAATGGGGCACTGACAAGTTCCTCTGTGTTCTGTTTTCCCTCCCTCAAAGACCTTATTTATCTGTAGGGCTTCAACTTCCCCAGGCATGCATATCCTGATCTCTTAACCTAATATTTTCAACCATGAGATGTTTCTATTTGGATGTTTCACTGTCCATCAAATGCTTATGTCAAAATCCAATTTATTTTAGCCTTTGGCAATTATGAGGGAGAGATGTCATGCCTTTGGTTAACTTTTAAATACCAGCATAGCATAGTATTTTCCCTATAAAATGTACCAGTATTGCCAGGCGCAGTTGCCCACACCTGTAGTCCCCCTGGCTCAGGAGGCTGAAGCAGGAGGATCACGAGTTCAAAGTCAGCCTCATAAAATTTGCAAAGTTCTAAATAACTCTGTGGGACCCTGTCTCTAAATAGGGCAGGGGATGTGGCTCAGTGGTTGAGTGTCCCTGAGTTCAATCCCCAGTCCTTCCATATATATATACTTTTAATTTAAAAAAAATATATATATATATATTTTATTAAAAGTAGAGAACACCAAAGTCATATTGTACTGGGGATCCTATGTGGAGGCCTTAAATCACTTACAAGTTAGATAATATCCTCTTACACATCAGCTGCCAAGGTGGGAGTTTCACGTTTTTGTTTCTTCAAGATTAGAAATCCCTATTTGTCATGGATCTTTGAAACTGCTAACAAATAGTCAAAACCACAAGTCAGCTATCTAGACACCTGTGTGTGTGTGGAATTCATGAAACTGAATTTTAAACAAGATACCTTAGTGATTTCTGTGCAGAGTAAAGTCTGAGACCCCCTTCTTCATTTTCCTTCTTGCTTTATGCAGATATCCCTGTTTCATTGAGGTTTATGCTACAATCTTTCAGCCAGTCTCCCAGATGGTATTTGGAGCCAGCTCTGATTTTTTCCTCCCCCTCATATAGCAAATCACTTATTAAATATTGACATTCCTTTTATTCGTGGTATTGCCTTGCAGTAGTCATAACAAACATTTAAGAATTTTGTATAAAAGATGTGAATCATGGGCTGGGGTTGTGACTCAGTGGTAGAGCGCTTGCCTAGCACGTGCCGGGCCCTGGGTTCTATCCTCAGCACCACATAAAAGAATAAAATAAAGATATTGTGTCCATCTACAACTAAAAAATAAAATATTTTTAAAAATTAAAGAAAAGAAAAGGTGTGAATCAGGTTTTTATTGTTCCATAAGAAATCAGCACGAGCTATGTAAATTTTAAACAACATTCGTTAATAGCTCATAGTTCATTTGGTCAGAAATCTGGTGTGGGGTGGCTGCCTCTCTGCTCATTGTCAGCTATCAGAAGGCTAAAGTCAGTGCATCACCCAGGCTGGGGGAGAGTGGAAATCTTCTTCCAAGCTCATTCAGGTCAGTAGAATTCAGTTCTGCTTCAAGATTCTGGCTTCTCCTCTGTACCCAGCTACAGAGAACTCTCTCAAAAAAAAAAGGTTCATAGGATTGATTAGGTCAGGCCCACCTGGATATTCATCCGCCTCAAGACAAGTGATTTAGAACTTTAACTACATGTGCAGAATGCCTTCACAGCAGTACCTATATTAGTATTTGGATGAATTACTAGAAGAAGGTATGTGTACATTCAGGGGCAGAGAATCTTGGGAATGTAATGGTTAATTTTATGTGGCAACTTCATTGGGCCACAGAATACTCAGATATTTGATCAAACATTATTCTGTAAGGGTATTTATTTTTGTTTTTAAAATTCTTATGGTTTAATTGAAGTAACATTTGTACTTATTTATGGGGTATAATTTAATTCAATACATATATATATAATGTGTATTGATTGAATCAAGATAATTAGCATTTCCATCTATTCAAATATTATCATTTCTATGTATCTCAGACCTTTGAACTCTTCTCTATTAATTTTCAAATATAGAATTAACTGTTGTAGACTGTTGTTACAGTTTGGAAATGAAGGACCCCTCAAGGACTCATGTGTTAAAGGTTTGTCCCCAGTGCAGCATGTTCAGAGATGGGACTTTGGGGAAGTGATTGGATCAAGAGGGCCCTACCTCACTACTAGGTAATCCATTGATAGCTGAATAGACCACTGGAAGGTAGAATCTAGTTGGAGGATGTAGGTCACTTGGGCCATGCCCTGGAAGGTATTTCTTGTCCACAACCCCTTTCTCTCTCTGAGTCTCAGTTGCCATGAGCTGAGTACTTTTCCTCTGCCACACCCTTCAATTGATGATGTTCTACCTGGTGAGGCCAGGCAGAGGCCTGAGGGCCCAATGTAATTGAGCCAGCTGACCATGGACTGAAACTGTGAGCCAAAATAAATCTTTCTCCTCTAAGTTGATTTTCTCAGGTGTTTGTCACAGCAACAAAAAGCAGGCTAACACAACTATAGGTAGTCTACTGTGCAACAGAACTTTAGAACTACCTTTCTCACCTTGAACTGTATTTTTATACCCATTGTACATCCTCTATCATCTCACCCTGCCACCTAGCCTCTAATGACCTATAGTCTGCTTTTTGTATGATCAACTTTTTAATCATTCACAAATGAGTGAAAAAATGTGGCATTTGTCTTTCTGTGCTTGATTATTTCACTTAATATCCTTTAGTTCATCCATGTTGCTGCAAATGACAGGATTTCATTTTTGTGGCAGAATAATAGGCTGTTGTCAACGTACACCATATTTCCTGTTTCTTTCCTTCTTGTTCTTTTTGTGCTGGGGATTGAACTCAGGACTTCATGCAGGCTAAGCCCGCTGAGCTATGTTTCTAGTCTAAACCACATTTTCTTAATCCATTAATCACTGATGGAAACTTAGATTGATTCCATATCTTGTCTATTGTGCATAGTGCTGCAATAAGCACGAGAGACCAGATATCTCAGGAGTGAGACTGCAGGATCATATGACTATTTCTAGTTTTTTTAGGAGCCTCTATACTGTTTTCCATGATGGCTCTATCTTTCTACCACCAGTATAGGAGAGTTTCTTTTTCTCTGCATTCTTGTCAGCAGTTGGGATTTTTGTGTGTGTGTGTGTGTGTGCGCGCGCGCGCGGGGAGGGGGGGGGAGGGCGGGATAGTCTTTTTTTGTGATTGCCATTTTAACTGGAGTGCAATGATCTCTCATTGTGATTTTCATTTGCCTTTCCCTGATGATAGTGATTTTTAAATTTTTTTTAGCTATAGTTAGACACAATACCTTTATTTTATTTGTTTATTTTTATGTGCTGTTAGGATCGAACCCAGTGCCTCACACTTGCTAGACGAGCCACAACTCCAGCAGCCTCTGATGATAGTAATTTTGAGCATTTTTTCATATGTTTGTTGGCTATTTGTATATCTTCTTTTGAGAAATGTCTGTTAGGCTAGTTTGCTCATTTTTAATTGCTTTCTTTTTGCTGTTAAGTTTCTTATATATTCTGTTTGTTAACCCTTTGTCACAGCAACAAAATGAATAGTTTGCAAATATATTTCCTATTCTGTAGGGTATCTCTTAACTCTGTTGATTGTTTCTTGCAAGAGTGGTGGTTAACAATAGTTATAATATAAATTTATTGTATATAATTTAAATATTTATATATTATAAAGCATAAAATATATAATTTGTTATAAATATATAACTAATATATAAATATAAATGTATTTATGTCCAATTACATTATTTTTCTTTCCACCTTCAAGGGTGTTTTTTGATAACTATAGCATTTAAATTGATATACAGAATAAAGCATACTGGCATCTGGAACATAGGTTGGCTTTATTCAATCAATCACTTGAAGTCTTGAATTAAAAATTAAAAACAAAAATTAAAAACAAAGCTGACTATCCCTAAATAAAAAGGAAAGCCTCTTGCCTGACTGCTGGAACATTTTTTTTCTTCTTTGAATTCAAACTGAAACATTGGCTATTCCTGGAAGAGCCTTCAGATTTCAGACTGGAACCATACCACCAGCCCTGGTTCTCAGGCCTTTAGATTTGGACTGTAACTTAGGTTAGCCAACAACAGATCTTGGGATTTGTCAGCTTCCATAATCATGTGAACCAGTTCTTTATAATAAATTTCTGTCTCTGTCTCAATTGATTCTCTTTCCCTGGAGAACCCTGACCGATATAGAGGCCATCTTAGAATTATTTTCTACCATACAAGAGACAGAATTCTAAGGGCTTTGTATGTATTTACTTAAGTTAGTCTATCAACAACCCTATGAAGGCAGTCATCATTATTTTCATTTTATTGATAAGGAAAATGATACTCAGAGAAGTTGAGTCTTCCCAAATTTACATAGCTATTTTCACATGACACTTTATTGCTCTAGGAATTTCATACTTATATTCCTCCAACTACCTCCTAAATGGCTTGACCAAAACCAATGGTAGTTAGATTTCTTTTTCTTTCTCATCTTTTTGGTACTGGGAGTTGAATCCATGGGCATTTTAACTCTGAACTTCAGCTCCTGTTCTTTTTTTTTTTTTTACTTTGAGACATGGTCTCACTAAGTTGTTTAGGGTCTCCTATGCAACTTACCATCCTCCTGCCTCAACCTCCTGAGCTTTTGGGATTATAGGTGTGCACCATTTCACTCAGATTTTTTTTCATCATGTGACTTTTCTAGGTTTAGAAAAAATACTTTTCACTATAATATGCTATGTAACATGGCTATGGTGTGCCAGAAATTGAGCTTGTATCCAAATATGAAAATCCATTTAGGTATATTCCTTAGCAAAGTTTTAATTATGATAACTTTCACCTGCAATGATGTTGAGTGTGAGGCAGCTAGTAGTGGAGGAGGGGCAACAATGAAACAAGACATAGGGAGTGTGGATTGTATTTTTTTCAAATGAAAAGGGAAAATAAAGTACAGAGAACTTGAATGATAAAAATTAACAGAGGAATAGCTTCAGAAACAAAAAGTATTTTATTAAAATGAAAATATAAAAGCTATTTTGTAGAGTACATTCATGTAAGGAATGGCAGTTAGAGAGAGAATGAATCAAAGTATTATTTTGAAGCTTAGTTTCATCTGCTAATCCTTCCTTCAAAAAGTATTTGTTGACTGCAACTATGTGCCAAGCACCATTCGAAGCAAATTGATTTCCTACAAGAGTATTGCAATAGCTTCCTAACTAGTTTACCTAGCAGCCAGACTGATGCTTAAGGCAACCTTTTTTAGATTTGAACACTCTGTTTCTAATATATTTTCAACTCATTAATTAATTAAACCAGGATCCTATGGACTTAAAGTTCCTTTCTACTCTGGGTACAACCATGCCTGCTCCACGCCCCTTTCATTCACTTCAGCCAGCACCAGCTTCCTCTTCATGTTCCCTAGACATGGCAGGCAAGTGTCCATCTCAGGCTTTGACATGAGCTGCTGAATCGCTCAGCCCCAAAGGCTGTTCCCTAGACACCTACCCCTGACTTCATTCAGGTCATCTACTCAAAATGACCCTTCATCAGCAGTGGGTTTCCTGATCACTTGAATCAAAATAGTGTCTCCTCTCCATCACCCTCTCCCTCACTTTTCCACTTTTCTTCGGGTACTCCATCATAGTATACACAAAAATATATACCTTGTATATATTGTTATATACTAGTTGGCTTATTGTCCCTTCTACTTAGTATGTCAGCTCCTAGAAAGGGGCCTTTGCATCTACTGCATTATTCCAGTGCCTGCCACAGCAGCTGGCACACAGTGGGTACTCACACACACTTGCTGAATCAGCAGGTGAACAAACATGAATCCCCTATTTATTTGTGGTATTACTTTTTTAAAATGCTGAAATAAAATATTATTTAACAGTTTCAACAGTTGTTATAAAGTTATATGCTTTTATATTTTCCATACATCTTTATCTTTTTATCTTCACTCAGAACTACAAAGAAGGTTCCTGTTGGTGAATAATATTAATACAAGTTCTGAGGGAACATTTCCAATGGGGTGGTAAAAGTACAGACCAATTACAATGGAAATCAAGTCGCCATTTTAAAAACTTTGAAGAACCTCAGCAAATGGATCTTCTCAATGCCTTCAATAATAATAGACATAAATGAATGACATTGCAGTACAATCTGAAAAGCTAAAGTGTAATGCAAGCAGTGAGTAACGTGGGTTTCAGCAGAGGAGTTCTTTCAAAATGACCCATCGAACCAGCTGGGAGGCCTCGGGTGCAGCAGGCCTGAGTGTGGTACTTGGGAACCCTCTGGGGAGTGAAGGCACAGCTCTCAGCCACTCCTTGCTCAGTGTGATTGAGAAACACAACTCCTAACACAACAGTGTACTTGAGGTCAATTGCTTTGCTCCACAACTTGAAATTTCCTAATGTCAGTGACAAGTGAGCTGTGATGGTGAAACAGCCAGTTCTCATCCTGTGAAGATATTTGGAGACTGAGTCAAAGTTTCTGTAGCATTTTGATGGCCTCCATCTGAAATACTCCAGAAAAGAGTATGCACAGCAATAAATTGCTGTACTCAGAGTGGAGAAGGGAATTCCATGATCTATTTGAGACATAACTGGGAGTTAAACTTTTTTGGGGGCAATAATCAGTTAAACATGTATTTCATATGCAACTGATCCCAAATAGTGCAAAAATAATAACAATATCAAATCAAACCATCAGGGGGCTGAAAAATAACTCAAATGTATGATTGTTATAAATTTCATTCTTAGGAATAGAGATAACAAGCACTTGGATAGAATTAAGACAGTTTTTCAAATTCTTCTTTCTCCCTCCTGAAATGTCTTTGCATAAGTATGTTTGAAATTGTATTTTATATTTGAATATTATCAATTTTGATTCTCAAAGGTATTAGTATCAAAACAACCAAGCCAAGCAAACAAATGAACTGTTTTTGGTGTCAGAAGTTCTAGATTCAGGTCCAAATTCTATTAATTATTGGTTGTGGGACCCTATGCAAGTTGTTCAACCTCTCTGAAGGTTAGCTTCCTTAACAGTGAAGTTACTCATATTTATGCATTCAATCAATTGTGACTCTCAAATGTGGTACTTTAAAAAAACTTTGGAAGCTACTTTATAAATGTAAGATTATTCATTTCTCATAAGAAGTAGATGCTTTTATTTATTTATTTAAATAAATGCTTTTATTTAGATAAATTAAAAAGCTTTTATTTATTTAAATAAAATAATAAATGCCTTTATTTATTTAAACAAATGCTTTTCCTTATATAAATGAATAAATGCTCTTGTTTATTTATTTAAATAAATAATAAATGCTTTTATTATTTATTTAAATAAATAAAGAAGTAGATGCCTCTGAGGCAGCTTATAATATATTTACATAGTACCATAGAATAAAAAAGAAAATAGAGAAAATAAAGGTAGAAAAACAAAATAACTTACCATAATATTTTTTATATTTTTAAGGAATAGGCCACAATTTTGGTCAATTCTAAGTTCCTAGAGATAAATCATATAGATAGATGTTCAGTGAAACATGAATCTATCAAACAAACAAACAAACAAGCTTGTTTTTGTGCTTCTTCAACTAGGGTACCTTTGGAGAGGGAAAGAAAAGATTGTGTATTCTGGAAAGCCACAGGATAAACTAGATTCTTCCTCCCACTTAAATTTTACTCAGAGCAAATTAGAACATTTTGACATTAAAATAAATATGTATCATTTATTAGAAAATATATTTTTTATTAGAAAATATTTACAGACTATCTTTTGCCCATCAGATCTTGTTCTAGAAACGAGGTATGTGGAAAGCAAGAGGTCCTTGTAGGAGTTTGTTTTCTGGGATGGTGCTATTGCTCTGCCATCTGAATCAGAACTGAAATAAAATTTTCTGATAAACAGATTATACCTAATTAATTCTTTTATACAAGGAGAAAAGAAAAATCATTTATAATAAAGCAAAATTCATTTCAAAACATAAATAAATGTCTAAGCAATATTATGCCACAAAGATATCATGAAATAGACAAGTATTTTGCATCAACATATAAAAATCAACTGAAGGGGCTGGAGTTGTGGCTCAGTGGTGGAGGGCTGGCCTAGCCTGTGTGAGGCACTGGGTTTGATTCTCAGCACCACATAAAAATAAAATAAAGGTATTGTGTCCATCTACACTAAAGAAAAATTAACAACAAAAAAATAAACTGAACATTGTTGTCCTTTTTAAATCTATATCTAATATTTTCAAACAAGAGTTAAATAAGTACATTGTATCTATATGCACTTTTCACAGAATTCTACAGCTATAGAAACAGGCTAAAAAAAAAAAAAAAAAAAGAAAGAAACAGGCTGCCCTTTGCACATGTTTCAAACACCACAGAGTGCATTGCCATTCTCACATAGTAACTTTTGGTATGGTCTTGAACAAAACAGAGAATAATATTCTTGTACACTTAAGTGTGTACTAAAACTGCCCCAAATATATTTTTATTTCTCATTTTTTATTATTTTTCTAGTTAGTTATACATTACAGTAGAATACATTTTGACACATCATACATAAATGGAGTAACTTCTCATTTTTCTAGTTGTACATGATTTAAATTACACCGGCTGTGTAATCATATATGCACATAGGGTAATATGTCTGATTCATTCTACTATCCTTTATACCCCACACTCCTCCCCTCCTTACACTCCCCTCCACCTAATCCAAAGTACCTCTATTCTTCCCTAGCCCCCTCGCCCTTCTTGTGAATTAGCATCCAAACATCAGAGAAAACATTCAGTCTTTGGTTCTTTGGGATTGGCTTATTTTGCTTAGCATAATATTCTCTACCTCCAACCATTTACCAGCAAATGCCAAAATTTCATTCTTGTTTAAGGTTGAGTAATATTACATTGTGTATATATACCACAATTTCTTTATCCATTCATCTGTTGAAGGGCACCTACGTTGATTGCATAGTTTAGCTATTGTGAATTGAGCTATTATAAACATTGATCTGGCTGCATCATGTAGTATGTTGATTTTTAAGTCCTTTGGATATAAACCAAGGAGGGGGATAACTAGGTCAAAGAGTGGTTCCATCCCAAGTTTTCTGAGGAATCTCCATACTGTTTTCCATAGTGGTTGAATCCATTTTCAGTCCCACCATTAATGTATGAGTGTACCTTTTCCCCGACATTCTCGCCAACATTTACATTCTCGCCAACATTTATTGTTACTCGTCTTCTTGATAATTGCCATTCTGACTAGAGTAAGATGGAATCTCAGTGTAGTTTTTATTTGCATTTCTGTAATTGCTAGAGATGTTGAACTTTTTTTCATATATTTGCTGATTGATTGTATTTCTTTTGTGAATTATCTGTTCATTTTCTTAGCCTATTTATTGATTGGGTTATTTATTTGAGTTCTTTATATATCTTATAGTTCTATTTAAGGTGCATGTGGTAAAGATTTTCTCCCATTCTATAGGATCTCTCTTCACATTATTGTTTCCTTTGCTGTGAAGAAACTTTTTAGTTTGAGTCCATTCCATTTATTGATTCTTGATTTTTGTTCTTGTGCTTTAGGAGTCTTGTTAAGGAAGTCAGTTCCCAAGCCAATATGGTAGAGATTTGGGCCTACTTTTTCTTCTGATAGGTGTAGGGTCTCTGTTCTAAGTCTTTGATCCACTTTGAGTTTTGTGCAGGGTGAGAGATAGGGGTTTAATTTCATTGCCCCAAATATCTTTTATTTATATGCAAAATGAAGTAAGGTTCTAGGCTCAGCTAATTATGAACAGAGTTTTCACTTACCTGAACATCCAGTGGGTCATCAAAAAGTTATGTAGAACAAGGATTGCTGGTTGTATGGCTTGAGTTAGGCATCAAAGAACATCTACTCTTCTGGCCTCTGTCCAGTGGGGGTCCTCTCATAGTATGAAAACCAGAAAACATCTCTACAAATGTCCAATATGCTACTGGGAATTGGAACCCCTTTATTAGATAACCATTATTATAGAGATAGAAGATAAAAATTAATGTTAGGTACAGCTAAATGCTATGAAGCAAAGAAAACAGTATAAGTGTGGGGTGGGGTGTGAGACCTCTACACAGCAAGGTTAAGGCAAGACTTGCAGGTAAGTTGTAGGTTAGAACTGAGACTTGAATGGTGAGATGGAGAAGACTATGCCAAGAACTGGGGCAAGAACATCCATCCCTGGTAGGGAAATAGTACAAGGCTGTGAGGTAGGAACACGTTTAAGGACAGAAAGAGGTCCACTGTGTTTGGAGCACAGGTTGATAAGGTAGAAAGCATTGACTTTTGGGGGCACAGAGAAAATAAGAGTTTCTGAATTGTTTTTACATGCTGCTGATATGTGATATGTCTCCACTGATAGGTAGATTCTTGGAAGATATGCCTTTCTGTTATCAAGAATTAGTTTATTCACGGCTCATAATGGATTCTTGGGAAAATGCTTAAGAAGCTGACATGATTTTTTAAATTTTCAATTTTTCCTTTCCTTCTCTAACCTACCTCCCCATCCTCCTCCTTCTTCTGTACTAGGATTGAACATAGGCCGCTTTACCACTAGCTTCATCTCCAGCTCTTTTTATTTTTTGAGACAGGGTTTTACTAAATTGCCAAGACTGGCCTTGAAGTTGCTGATATTGGCCTCAAATCTGTGATCCTCCTGCCTCAGCCTGAGTCGCTGGGATTACAGGAGTGCATTACCATTCTGGGCTTGGCATGATTTTTATTTTTAAAGATATTTCTATTACTGCTATACACTGGGCACTATATTTAGCATTTTAATGCATCATCTCAAGTCCTTAAAACAACTCTGCCAGATAATCATCAATATTTCTATTTTAGCAGGGAATTAAATAATTAGCTTGAAGTTACTTAACTAGTAAGTAATAGCAATAATTATTGAAACCCAGACCTATCAAACTTCCATATCTGTGATTTCCACAGAAGTGGAAAGCTACATAATTTCATGGTAGGCATGTTTTGTTACCATATTGCAGTTCTACCACCATGGTAGGTGGTGGCAGGTCTCAGATGTACAAGACTCTTAAAATTTCTACATCTTTCTCTTGTGCTAAGGACAGAGTATCCCTTGGTAGCCTTTGCCAAGTACAACTAGATCTCTTTCATGGAGTTTGGAGGTTTAAAAAAAAGTTGTGATAGCATTCACTTACTGGAAGTAATAAAAAGAAAACCTTACCTTTATTTCCTTTTCTGGTTACAAAAGTAATATATATGCATCTCAGCACTTTTTTTTTTGGCTTTTAAAATGTGGTTAAATACATATTTAAAGCATAAATAGGAGGAGAGGGATTATGAGGGTGCCATTAAGATGGGAGTCCCACCCTTTACAGCTCTTATGGGTGCTCATTGAGGTGATTAGACTTGACCTCTGAACTCGAGTCACAGATATCTAAAGTCAGGGCCTCTGTTGTGCCTTTGAATAGTTGCAAATAGGACCAACAATTCTTGGGGTGGGGGCAAAGGGTGGGTAAGTTAACTCTGAGCAGCAAAAAAGTACTCAGACCTATAACAAAGTACTGAAAGTTTCAATTCGATGTAACAGAAAACTCAAGGGGGCAGGCAAGGTGGGGGTGGATGGGGCAGACTACTATCCTCTATCAAGACAGCACAACTGTAGCTATCTGGGATCTTTTCCAATTATTTTTGCTAGTACACTAGCTACATTCCTCGTGGCTCTCTGCCTTTATCTAGTTTTTAAATGCCCCTCAACTTGTACAGGCTGTCAAGTCGCTTTATTTCATCGCCCACTTCTCCCAATCTTAACAACACCTGCAGGTTCACGGTGCACTCGGTGTGGCTAACTGGGATTTATCTATGCACCGGGTTTCACACCTCCATAAGCCTTTTTTCTAGAGAGCGTGTGGAGTGGGCTGGCCACAGGAGGGTCCAAGAAGGGTGCCAGGCAGCTCCGCCCAGCGCGGACGGAGAAACCCTAGCACAGTCAGTCACACTGAAGGTTGGCTCTCTCTTCACCCTAGGCGGCTAGGTGACTGCAGCTGCCGGTGTAGCAGGAGGTCTCCGTGGAGACGCTGGGCTCCGCCCACCTGGCCCAATTCCGGCCACGTGCCTCCACGTGCCGACCAATCAGGACCCGGAGCCCGCAGGCTTGAGATTCAAACTGCTGCGCGGCCGGCTCGGGATCGGCGTGGTTTCTGCCGCAGCCTTAGCTGCGTGCGGGCCATGGAGCACCGCATCGTGGGGCCCGGGCCTTACCGGGCCACCAAGCTGGTGAGTGAGGGTGCGGGGGCCTGAGCGGAGCCGCGGGCGCCGCCGTTTCGTGGCTCGTCCTGGGACAGCCAGCGAATAATCAGCTGTAGCTTCTGCCGGGCTGGCTGGACTGATTTGTGAAGACTTTCCTCTGGGTCTGCAATTTCTTCCTGAACGAACCTTTAAAAAGGGGGCTAAGGGGTCGGCAACCGAGCCGTGGGGAGTGGGTACAGCATCGTTCCTGAGACGTTGCCTGGGTTCTCCGCAATATACTGGGCCTCCAGATTGAAAGCGCTGCGAAAACCAGGCTGATCCCCTTCTGCCTTTGTCCCCTAGCTCCTAACGCCTGCGGCTGGGAGGAGAAAGACTCAACCTGAAACCCTAGGGCCACCCCACCCACTGTAAATCTCATCCTTTGCGGCAATTTAGGCAAGGCGTGTCCTCTTCCTGTGTGACACTTGTTGACACTCCCCAAGTATCCTTTCTAACGGTGCTCAGAACAGAGGTGGATCCCTCTAGCACGTTTCTGGCGGGTCCCATCAGCATTGACCTGAGGGATGGACCTTGGTGGATAATCAGCCTTTGCGGTCTCTACTGAACCAGGGTGCTGCCTTTTCATTTGGAAGGCAAGTTTAGTGTTAAGAGGTGTACCTGATTTATTTTATGACCTTGAGCATATACTTTGTGATTTCTGCCTCAGAAGATTACCATAATGGAATAAAGGGTGACACCTTGGTAATGTTCATGGCAAGTTTTTAGAGGACTTTCTATGGAAACTGATGGTAAATTGGGAGGAAGGAAACTGACTCCTTGGTCTGTCAACCATTGCTGTCCACATCTGACTTGGAATTGAGTCTCATTGCCCTTTGTGCCCTTAAGGAATATCCAGGAAAATGTGCTGGAGTGGCAAAGTTACACAGCCAGTATGTGGCAAGTACAACTGGATCTGGAATTTTGTTTTCTCTAAACTCCCAGGCCAGTTGTCTTTATAGTACTGCTTTTATATTTTTATACTAAACAGGAAGGAGGTGGAATAAATATCCTGGAGAAAAGAACAGGAAGCATATTTCAATAATAGGAGTTGAATCTTATAGTTTGGCTTGTGATGTTATAAACAGTTATGTTGTGTGATTTCTTTAGACTAAGAGTCTGAAATAAGAGACAAAAATATTTTTAAATCACAAAACAAATCTGTTTTGTTCTTCCTTATTCTTCCATTTGTCTCTTTAAATATAGCATGCTATGGGAAAAGTCACATTCTCAAGTTCTCTCATATTCTTTGTTGACATAGGATATTTTCTTTCTACTGTGTTGGGGATTGAACACAAGTGTCTACACTGATATACACCTTCAGCCAGAATATTTTCTTTCTAAAAGTGACTGAGAATAGTGTATTGCTGGATTGCTTAAAGATGACTTAATTCAGAGCCAGGTGTGGTGGTGCAAGTCATAGTTCCAGCTATTCTTGTGGCTGAGGCAGGAGACTTGAGAGTTGGAGGACTGCTTGGGCAACATAGCGACATCCCATCTCAAAACAACAAAAATCTAATTATTTTTTCTGAGCACAGTAGCCAAATAATCACCTGATTATATTAGAAATAAGTGAGAGTAGTGTTTGTAAGCAGTAGCAATAGCTTTTTATTCTTTTTTGTAGCATTGAAGCTTGGACCCAGTGGTGTCCTACTGCTGAGCTACTTAACCAGCCCATTTTGTTTTATTTTGAGATGGGGACTTGCTAAATTGCCCAGATTGGCTTTGAACTTGTGATCATCCTGCCTCAGCCTCCTGAGTTGCTATTGTGCCTGGATGATATGGACTTTTTGGTGCAAAAATTCTAATGAGATATGAAAGCTAGGTATCAGCAGAGCATTAAAAAATCATATATAGGCTGAGGCAGGAGAGTTGCAAGTTTGAGGCCAGCTTCACCAACTTAATGAGCAAAACCCTGGGGAAAAGCAAACAAAAAAACCCCAACAAAAACCACAAACAAAAATCCAAGAACAAAGTATAGCACTACCAGATTCAATCCCTTATACCAAAAACAAAAACAAAAACAAAACAAAAAAACTAAAAAAATCAATGATTAAAAATATGTGAAAATTGTTTAAAGGTGTGGCTGTGGTTTGAATGTATACCCCAAAAGTTCATAATGGGAAATGTAATCCCAAAGGCATTTTTGAAGTAAGGCCTTTGAGAGATTATAAGAATTTGAGAAGATATGAGGGTAAGGTCTCCATAGTAGCATTAGTGGCATTGTAAGAAGAGACACCTTAAGTATACTTATTCTGTCTTGCCATGTGATGCTCTCTGCCATGTTATGTTGCAACAAGAAGGCCCCCTCACCAGATATTGGAGCTATGTTCTAGACTTCTCAGCTTTCAGAGATATAGGCCAATAAACAAACTTTCTCTCTCTTTTAATTCTTTTTAGTCATGCATGACAGTAGAGTATATTTTGACATAGTTATACAAACATGGAGTACATCTTATTCTTATTAGGATCACAGTCTTGTGATTCTACATGATGTGGAGATTCACTGTGGTGTTTTCATATAAGTACATAGGAAAGTTAAGTCAGATTCATTCATTCTTTATAAATTATCCAGTCTCAGATATTTTGTTGTAGCAACAGGAAATGGTATGTGGAAAGGCCTTGATGTTCATGGGTGCTTGATATAGGAAGCTGATCACCGTAAAACAGGATTCCAGATCTTATTATCAGATTAAGTACCTGAAAGATATTTGCCAAGTTGTATATCCTACTAGGGTTTTGCTTTGACCCTAGAGATTCTTTCTGACTATAGCATAGATTGAACCCCAAAATTTGTTTTGGGAGATTATCCTGAAATTGTACATATTTTCCATGTATTTAAGAAACATTCTATCATTTGCAAAGGAATTTCATAGCCATAATCTCATTTAACCTGACAACAAACTAGCAAGGTAGGTGAGTAGATAGAGAAATTAGTTGATGGACTCTTTATGGGCAGGGATTTTTCTTCTATTTGTATACATTCCTTTCTTTATCTACTTGGCTCTTTGGGATTTAACTCAATCACAGGATAAGAAGTACCTGTATGAATTGGTTGTCCTCATTAGCTGTGTAGTTTGGAGTAAATTCTTCACATTCTGAAAGATGGTTATTTTGAAGATTATGAATGTAGAAGATAATGGGGAGAAAAGTTTGAAACCTATTTCTAGTTTACAGGGAAAATAGGAAAGTTATTTACTCACACTTATGTTTTAGAAGCAAAGACTAGGCAAGAGTTTAATGATGGGTGGAATAATTCTGGGGGATGCCAAGAACATTGCAGGTGGTGCCATTGGAGTCTTCTGGCACAGGGCTGTGGAAAGGCTATGGCTATTTTTATATAGAGCGCACTTGGGCACTTGGACACCTCCAATGTCCACTCTGCCAGCTGACTAGTGGGATGCTGACTGAGTTTTTGAGTTTATATTTATTATGGATATTGGTCTATGGTTTTCTTTTTTTGTTGTGTCCTTGAGTTTAGAAGGGTTCCTTCCCTTCCAACTCTAGGGAATATGTTTGAGGAGCAGCATTGGTGTTAGTTCTTTAAAAGTTTGGTAAAATTTGGCAGTGAAACTATTCTGAACTTATTTATTGCTGGGAGACATTTTATTACTAATTCAGTCTCGTTACCTTTTTTTTTTAATTTATTGAGGCTTTAAAACATATATTCAATTTTTTTTGGGGGGGGTGGGTGGGTACTGGGGATTGAACACAGTAGAACTTTTCTGCTGAGCTTCATTCCCAGTCCTTTTTATATTTTATTTTGAGAAAGGGTATTGCTAAGTTGTGAAACTTACTAAATTGCTAAGACTGGGCTCAAACATGCAATTCTTCTCCTGAGTTTCTGGGATTAAAAGTAAGGGCAACTATGACTATTGGTTCAATTTTGATAGGTCATATGTGTCCAGAAATTTATCTATTTCTTCTATTTTTTCCAATTTATTAACATATAGTTTTTCAAAATAATCTCTAAAGGTCCTTTTAATTTCTCTGGTATCAGTTGTAATGTTTCCTTTTTCACCTCTAATTTTATTTATTTGGGACTTCCTTTTTTTTCCTGACTTATCTAAGCCAAACATTTGTTAATTTTGTCTTTTCAAAGAACCAACTCTTTGTTTCTTTGATCCTTTATATTTCTTTTAATCTCTAGTGTAAATTTATATGCACCAAGTCAGAGCATTCAATTTTATGAAATAGTCACTACTGGACCTAAAGAGAGAAATAGACCTCAGTACAACAATCATGTGGGACTCTAATACCTCACTTAATCTCACCAACAGATGAACCAAGACCAAAACCTCAACCAAAAAAAAAAATAAAATAAAAAAAATAAAAAATAAAAATTGTTATACTAGATATCAAATAAACTTAACAGGCATTTATACAATATCCCAACTTCATGAAGCTTCATGAAGAGGGGTGAGGCCAGAACACAGCTTTCTTCTCTATGGCACTCACATCCAGTCTTTACTGCAGTGCATGGTCTGACAGGATTCAGGTATGGCCAATTTAAAGGACCTGCTTATGTGTGGTATCTGCTGCTGTTGTGGGGATGTCTGTGCAGGAGTCGGACCTCAGATTCCTCCTAGTTCTGTCTGCTTGGGGACAGATAGGTTGACAGCTGGGCACTTATTTCCCCCCCTCTTCTTTAAGTAGAGGTGTTTACCAGGGTTCAAATGGGACTGGGTTATGGCTGGAGCTGGGTGTAGTTCCTCTCAACTGGGCTTTGAGTAGCTCATTGGTAGAGTACCTGCCCATTGTAAAAAGGTCCTGTGCCTGATCTCTCGCACTGGGAAGAAAAACAACACAAAACAAAACCATAAAAAAAAAAAAAATGGAGGGGAGCACAAAAAAGAGAGAGAGAAAAAGACAAAATAAACAAAAGAAAAAAACAACAGAAAAATATTCCGCCTAGCCAATGTGCTTGGAAGAGTAAACAAGGGTAAATGATGTGACCTATGCCTTACAAAACTTCCCTCTGGGACCTTTTAGTCTATGAATCCCAGGGGCAATGTGTTGGCCAGGGCTCTATTCTTTCAGTTGTAGTACCTGCCAGGTATTGAGGAAGGAGTTCAGTCTTGGCTGAACCTAGTTAAAATCCCTCTCAGTTGAGTTGATTGCCTGCAAGCTAGTGCAGAAGGCAGGCAGTGCCAGGTATAGGCTCTCTCTGAAGCTTCAGGTGGAGGTGGGGGACAGGCAGAGCAAAATCAAGTGTTGCCTTGATGACTCAGAGGGGAGGGGAGCAATGGAATCCCACAGTTCAGTGCTGGGGGTGGGTGGCAGGAACCATGTGATCTGCTGCTGCTCTTGATCCTGGTATCCTTGGTCCTTGCAGTTGTTTAGAACCACAGTGACTGTCCTGTCCCTGGTCTCAGAGGATAGATTCCCCATTCCTCAAATTCTACCATTCCCCCCACCCCAACATACAACTCCGAGTGGATTTATTTTAATTGCTCTCTTGAACCAAGACCCTCTCATGAGGCATCTCCCTGCTGAAGTAGTATAATGGGATGACTGCAGGGTCCCAGAGATGGGAATATGTAGGGGTGTCTGACCTTCAGAGCATTACAAACTCAGACAATAGGCCCTTTCTCAAGATGGTTCCTGGCTACAGCTCCTTGGGAGTTCACTGGGGGGTGCAGTGAACTTCTCTAAAGCTAGCCTGCTGTGAAGACCCCCAGGACTGTTACCTGTTTATGCTCTATGTTTGCAAGGTGCTGGCTTCTGTGCCAATAGCACTTGCTAGGACTCTTTCACTTTTACTGTGTCAGAGGGAAGACTTCCCCTTTCCTGGCCATGGTGCTGGGCCGTAGGCATTGGAGCACTCTGTTCTTCTTGCTGTTGCTTTTGTTCCGGATCTCTAGACCTCACCAGGTCTCCATCTTTCTGCAGTTGAATTGCAGTTCTCTTTCATGGCCACTCACTTCAACACGCCACCACACACTTTGGTTCTATCCAGAGGGAGAACGGATGAGTGTGCTGGGTGCCTCATTGGTCATTCCTTCCTCAATATATATTTTTTTGGTGGGGTGAATGGATGGTGAACTACCCTTGAAAAGTTGCTTTTTTTTTTTTTTTTTAATGGTGCTGGGGATTGAACCCAGGGCTTTGTGCATGCTAGGCAAGAGCTTTACCATTGTGTGATATCCTCAGCCCTTAACCATTTTTAAGTGTATACTTTAGTAACATTAAGTACATTCACACTGTTTTGCAGCTTTTACCACCATCCATTCTAGAACATTTTTCATAGAAGGCTGTAAATAAAAATCTTTCAAGTTGCCATCTGTTATCTAAACAGTTTTTTAAATGAAAAATCACATCAATTGATTTAAGTATTTAGAATATAATAACTTAAAAAAAAATCAGTTAATGACTAAATGTCTTTCTCTTCTTTTACCTTAGTGGAATGAAACAGTGGAGCTTTTTCGTGCCAGGATGCCATTACGGAAACATCGTTGTCGTTTTAAGAGTTATGAACATTGCTTCACAGCCACAGAAGCTGTGGATTGGCTGCATGAGTTGCTTAGGTGCAGTCAAAACTTTGGTCCTGAAGTGACTCGCAAACAAACAGTCCAGCTGCTAAAAAAGTTCCTGAAGAATCATGTTATTGAAGACATTAAGGGAAAATGGGGTCAGGAAGATTTTGAAGACAATCGTCACTTATACAGGTAATGGCGACATATAAACCCTGAAGGAAGAATACAGAGTGAATCTGGTTCAGTCTGTTGAAACTTCTTGACAGGAGAGAATTTATCTTGTTCATTAAAGCAATTATTTGAGGTGTAACAAGTGGATTAAATGTATCCCTGCAGTAAAACTTATTTCATTTTTTCTTGGCCCCTGTGGGCACCCTGGAACAATCTTTTGTCATTAATAATGAGTTTTCAGTAAGCAAAATTTTTTCTTGCTTTCTGTTCACCTGGTTGCAATAATTTAGTACTTCTAGAGAATTTGAAAGGGTGAAAATAGATCTGGGTTCAATGAAGCTTTGCTGAGCCTTGGGGATTCCTGTATTCTAGTTGGCAGAATGTTTCTGATCCTTACACAGCTCAGCCATATGAAGAATTATGCTAGAATTCTTAAATTAAATCTGGCCATGCAAAACTGCTATTATCCAAACATTTTTTGCTCACATTTTAGTGCTATTTTATTTACCACCAGGTAATCCAAGAGAAAATGTAGGTCTCTTTCCTTGTACTTCTTTCTTTTATTTTCTTTTTTTAAAAAAATTTATTTTTTAAAAAAATTTTGATTTATTATATTTATTTTATTTATTTTAAAATTTTGTTTTATTATTTATGACAACAGAATGCATTACAATTCATATTACATATACAACACAATTTTTTATATCTCTGGTTGTACACAAAGTAGGGTCACTTCCTTCATGTCTTTTTACAAATACTTAGGTTAATGAAAACGATCACATTCCACCATCTTTCCTACCCCTATGTCCCCTCCCTTTCCTTTTTCCCTTTGTCCTATCTAGAGTTCATTTAATCCTCCCCCCCACCTCACCCACCCCCAGCATATTATGGAGCAGCATTCTTAAATCAGAGAAATCATTTGGCATTTGGTTTTTGGGAATGGCTAATTTCACTTAGCATTATATTTTCCAGCTTCATCCATTTACCTGCAAATGCCATGATTTTATTTTCTTTTAATGCTGAATAATATTTCATTGTGTATATATACCATGTTTTCTTTATCCATTCATCTACTGAAGGGCATCTAGATTGGTTTAGCTATTGTGAATTGTGCTGCTATAAACATTTATGTGGCTGTGTCCCTGTAGTATGCTGTTTTTAAGTCCTTTTAGTATATCCCGAGGAGTGGGATGGCTGGGTCAAATGGTGGTTTCATTCCACCAGCAATGTATGAGTGTGTCTTTTTCCCCACATCCTCGACAACACTTATTGTTGTTTATATTGTTAACAGCTGCCATTCTGACTGGAGTGAGATGAAATCTTAGAGTAGTTTTGATTTGCATTTCTCTAATTGCTAGAGATGTTGAACATTTTTCATATATTTGTTGATTGATTGTATATCCTCTTCTGAGAAGTATCTGTTTAGTTCCTTGGCCCACTTAAGGACTGGGTTATTTGTTTTTTTTGGTGTTAAGATTTTTGAGTTCTTTATATACCCTAGAGATTAGTGCTGTATTTGACACATATATGGTAAGAATTTGTTCCCAATTAGTAGGCTCTCTATTCACCTCACAGATTGTTTCTTTTGCTGAGAGAAGCTTTTCAGTTTGAATTCATCCCATTTATTGATTCTTGATATTAATTCTTGTGCCAAAGGAGTATTACTAAGGAAGTTGGGGCCTAATCCCACATGATGGAGATTTGGGCCTACTTTTTCGTCTAATGAACACAGTGTCTCTGGTTTAATTCCTAGGTCATTGATCCACTTTGAGTTGAGTTTTGTGCATGGTGAGAGATAGGGGTGTAATTTCATTTTGTTGCATATGGATTTCTAATTTTCCCAGCATCATTTGTTGAAGAGGCTATCTTTTCTCCAATGTATGTTTTTGGTGTGTTTGTCAAATATAAGATAACTGTAATTTTGTGGGTTTGTCTCTGTGTCCTCTATTCTGTACCATTGTTCTACAAGTCTATTTTGCTGCCAATACCATGATGGTTTTGTTACTATTGTTCTGTAGTATACTTTAAGGTCTGGTATAGTGATGTCACCTGCTTCACTCTTCTTGCTAAGGATTGCTTTAGCTATTCTGGATCTCTTATTTTTTCAGATGAATTTCATAATTGCCTTTTCTATTTCTATGTGGAGTTTCATTGGGATTTTGATCAGAATTGCATTAAATCTTATAGTGCTTTTGGTAGTATGGTCATTTTGACAATATTAATTCTGCCTATCCAAGAACAAGGTAGATATTTCCATCTTCTAAGATCTTCTTTAATTTCTTTCTTTAGTGTTCTGTAGTTTTCATTGTAGAGGTCTTTCACCTCTTTCGTTGATTCCCAAGTATTTTATTTTTTTGAGGCTATTGTAAATGGAGTTTTCCTCATTTTCCTTTCAGAGGATTTGTCACTGATATACAGAAATGCCTTTGATTTATGGGTATTGATATTGTATCCTGGTACTTTGCTGAATTAATTTACTAGTTCTAGAAGTTTTCTGGTGGAATTTTTTTGGGTCTTCTAGATATAGAATCATATTGTCGGCAAATAGTGCTAATTTGAGTTCTTCTTTACCTATCCATATCCCTTTAATTTCTTTTATCTAATTGCTCTGGCCAGTGTTTCAAGAACTCGGTTAAATAGAAGTGGTGAAAGAGGGCATCCCTGTTTTGTTCCATCTTTTAGAGGGAATGCTTTCAATTTTTTGCCAATTAGAATGATGTTGGCTTGGGGCTTAGCATAGATAGCTTTTACAATGTTGAGATATGTTCCTATTATCCCTAGTTTTTCTAGTGTTTTGAACATGAAGTGGTGCTGTATTTTGTCAAATACTTTTTCTGCATCTATTGAGATGATCATATGGTTCTTTAAGTCTATTGATGTGATGAATTACATTTATTGATTTCCATATATTGAACCATCCTTGCATCCCTGGAATGAACCCCACTTAATTGTGGTATACTATCTTTTTGGTATGTTTTTGTATTCGATTTGCCATAATTTTATTGAGAAGTTTTGCATCTATGTTCATTAGAGATATTGGTCCAATTATTTATTTATTTTTTTATTTTGATGTGTTTTTGCCTGGTTTAGGAATCAGGATGATATTGGCCTCATAGAATGAGTTTATAAGTGCTCCCTCTTTTTCTGTTTCCTGAAATAATTTGAAGAGTATTGGTATTAGTTCTTCTTTAAAGGTCTTGTAGAACTTGCCTGAGCATCCATCTGGTCCTGGACTTTTCTTGGTTGGTAGATTTCTGATGGCATCTTCTATTTCGTCACTTGAAATAGATCTGTTTAAATTGTGTATATCATCCTGATTCAATGTGGGCAAATCATATGACTCTAGAAATTTTTCAATGCCTTATGATATTTTCTATTTTATTGGAGTACAAGTTTTCAAAATAATTTCCAGTTCTCTTCTGTATTTCCATAATGTCTGCTGTGATATTTCCTTTTTCATCATGTATGTTAGTAATTTGAGATTTCTTTTTCCTTGTCTTTGTTAGCATGGCTAAGGGTCTGTCAATTTTATTTTTTCAAAGAACCAACTTTTTGTTCTGTCAATTTTTTCAATTGCTTCTTTTGTTTCAATTTCTTTGATGTCAGCTCTGATTTTAATCATTTTCTGGTTTTTACTGCTTTTGGTATAGATTTGTTCTTCTTTTTCTAGGGCTTTGAGATGTAATGTTAAGTCATTTATTTGTTGAGTTTTTCTTCTTTTAAGGAATGAACTCCATGCATTGAACTTTCCTCTTAGAACTGCTTTCATAGTGTCCAAGAGATTTCAATATGTTGTATCTGTGTTCTCATTTACCTCTAATAAATTTTAATCTCCTCTTTGATGTCTTCTGCAACCCATTGATCATTCAGTAGCATATTATTTAGTCTCCAGATGTTGGAGTAGCTTTTATTTCTTGTTTTATCATTGATTTCTAATTTCATTCCATATGATCTGATAGAATGCAGGGTAGTATCTCTACTTTTTTATATTCGCTAAGAGTTTGTTTGTGGCATAGTATATGGTCTATTTTAGAGAAGGATCCGTGTGCTGCTGAGAAGAAAGTGTATTCTCTTGTTGAAGGATGATATAGTCTATCTATGTCAGTTAAGTCTAAGTTATTGATTATATTGTTGAGTTCTATAGTTTCTTTGTTTGGCTTTTGTTTGAAAGGTCTATCCAGTGGTGAAAGAGGTATGTTAAAGTCACCCAAAATGATTGTGTTGTAGTCTATTCGACTCTTGAACTTGAGCAGTGTTTGTTTGATGAATGTAGATGCTCCTTTGCTTGAGGCATATATATTTATAATTGTTATATCTTGTTGGTGTATATTTCCCTTGAGTTGTTTGTAGTGTCCTTCTTTATCCCTTTTGATTAACTTTAGCTTGAAATCTACTTTATTTGATATGAGGATGGAGACTCCTGCTTGCTTCCACAGTCCATGAGAGTGATATGTTTTTTCCCAACCTTTCATCTTCAGTCTGTGGATGTCTTTTCCTATGAGATGAGTCTCTTGGCGGCAGCATATTGTTGGTTTTCTTTTTTAATCCAATCTGCTAGTCTGTGTCTTTTGATTGATGAGTTTAGGCCATTAACATGCAGGGTTATTATTGAGACATGATTTGATACAATTTGATACAAATTAACGTGACTTGGTTTCTCCTTTGATTATCTTTCCTTTAGTATAATCTCCCCTCTGCTGTTTTTCATCATTGTTTTTCATTTCCTCTTTATGGAATATTTTGCCAAGCATGTTCTGTAGTGCAGGCTTTCTAGTTGTAAATTCTTTTGTTTATCTTGGAAAGTTTTTATTTCATCATTAAATCTGAAGCATAATTTTGATAGATATAAGATTCTTGGTTGGTATCCATTTTCTTTCAGAGCTTGGTATGTGTTGTTCCACGATCTCCTGGCTTTGAGGGTCTGGGTTGAAAAATCTGCTGAGATACAAATTGGTCTCCCCCCATATGTGATCTGATTGCTCTCTCTTGCAGCTTTTAAGATTCTATTTTTATTCTGTATG